ATATCTGTTAAAAGAAGTGGAAAAAAAAAATCAATCTTTGGAGTGTCGTAGCTTCTTAGCCAAAAACCCCTAATAGCAGAAACACAGAAAGAAGCAAAGCAAAGCACAAAGAGTGGAAAACGAATGGAGGGAAGTTGTTTAACATTTAGCACAGCTTTGGCACCAGCAAGACCTTCAACATGCCTTCATTACAATTCTACTTTTGTTAAACAATTTCAGACAAATACTATCACACCAAGAAGAGGATTATCAGTAAAAGCATCGACCCACAACTTTTCTACATCCAAGCCGACTTTATCGAGGAACTGGGATGTTTCCAATTACTCAAAAGCCCCTGCTTGGATGCCCAGATTTGAAGAACTTGATACCACCAATATGCTTCTTCGTCAAAGGATTATCTTCTTGGGTTCTCAGGTTCGAACTAATTTAATTAAGATTTGGGGTTTTGGGGTTTTGTTAATTCACCCTTAATTGACCATATGCGGACTATTTTTCTTATTGGTTATGTATATCATTCTGCTTAGCTTAATTAGTATCAGGTTGCCACTGTTCTAGTAAAGATTTGTTTTTTTTGTTCTTTTGGGGTTTTCTATATCATTCTGGCATTATGTGTAATCAAGATTTTAAATTTGTACTTGGTTTGTTTAATTGGTCAGGTATGAATTAGTTTTTTGTTCTTTGTTAATTTTGCTGCAGCTTGCTTGATTTAATTAGTATTGCTTGGAGAATGTGTCACAGGCTGACAAAAGGATTTTTTTTTTCTTAAATGGTTTTTTCGTGTTTATTACTAATTCACATTAGTCTATTGGCCAAACAGATGGTGTTTCGTTCTGCATGAACATTCTTTTTACTTGATTTGTTATAGAATGGTCAGTGCATGATATATGTTATATGTGGTTGATTACTTTGTGTTTAGAACGTGGCAGAGAGAAACTATCTTATATTTCAATCATAGAACTGTGGAGCTGTTTCTAATACTTGGGGAATTATTTGGTATTGAACAGGTAGATGATATTACTGCAGATTTTATTATAAGCCAGCTATTAATTCTTGATGCAGAAGATGATAAAAAGGACATCAGATTGATCATTAATTCACCTGGTGGTTCAGTAACTGCTGGTATGTCTAAATGGTTCATTTACTTTGGTTGCCTCTGATGCTATCCTTTTCTGTGCTTACTTAAATCATTGGTGTTTGTAAAGGTGACATAAAACTGCTTTAATTTGTTGTTAGCTTGGACGGTGATTTTCTCCTTTTTTTTGTTAATTAAATATACAACATGCCAAGTAATTGCTTGTTAGAATTTCTTTTGGCTTCTGAATGATTTTAGATAGGGATTAGAAGGAAAATAACACCTTATAATACCTTACTACTCTCCATCACTTCTTGCCCACTGTGCTAATAAACACAACTGGCGTATTATTTTTTATAGGAATGGGAATTTATGATGCCATGAAAATGTGCAAGGCTGATGTTTCTACTATCTGCATGGGATTGGCTGCATCCATGGGTGCGTTTCTCTTGGCTTCTGGCAGCAAGGGAAAGAGGTACTGCATGCCAAACGCAAAAGTGATGATCCATCAACCACTTGGAACTTCTGGTGGTAAAGTATGTGGTTACACTTTGCTTTACTCAACAATTTCATGATATCTTACAGTAGTGTTTTGCTTTTGTTTGACACTTCTTTGAGAGAAACCTAAGTTATGCAAGGGCTTCTGATGGTTCAACTTTGATTCACTTCTATTTGTTTGCTCTAATTGAGCTGCTTTTCTGAAGCTTTTTGAATATTTTTATGCTACACAAATATCCAAACACCCAAAGGTCTTACTTTCCAGAAGATTTTCTATCTAATGATAGATGAGACTTTCTTGACTGAAGGTTTCTAATGGAGAACACTGTTCTCTTCTACACTGAGTCATCACTGCATCCTGAGTTCCGGATTCTGCAAGAATTTTTATTCTCTGATTTATGAACAATTTTCAACATTGGAAATTGGTCATCTCAGGAGACAAATGTTCTTCGGATTTTTTATTTTTTATTTATATGACAAGGGAAACCGCAGCCGCTACCCTTCGGGTGTATTCTTCTGATCTTTTTTAAAGCTGTGTCTCATACTGTAGAGACCAAAAAATCCTTCTGTTCTCCCCCTCCTATCTTGCAATTCATAAAAATTTGAAACATCCTTGTTTTTTGGACTCACTGCTCACTAGTTGACCTACTTGTCAGTATTATCTCATTCTATTTAATTTATCTTTCTGGAGCATATCAAAAGTCATATATCACTGACGTCAATGAGTTATGTCTGAGATTGCTATGTGTTACTTTTGATATGCTCATTCAATTGCTAGTGGCCTCTCCCTGCAGCATTTCATTTGCTGGAATGGATTGCTGTAGAGTCTGAACAACATGTAATAATACCAACTTGACTGATTGCAGGATTGATTCTAAAAGTGTTTGGCATATAGTTAATAGTTAGTTTATTGGTCTAACTAACTCATTCCCCTTGATGCAAAAATATGTTAGATCCCCTCTCTCGCTCCCCTTTCTCTCTATCTCCCGCAGCCAAAAATTCGGGGGCTGTCCGCTCAAAATGAGCTTTACATTTATGCTAGTAATGGGCATATGTACATACAACATGCATGATATAGTCAGTTTTCAGGTGTAATGTTTGAGCTTTCATTGGTCATATTTAAATTTAGACATTCAGGCTAGTCATCTACTGTATGAGTATCACAGAAGTTCAGTCACATTTATACCTGATGGCTTGAACTTCTACTGAACTTTGAATTGGTTCTGTCAGATTCTTTAGCAGCTTTTCAGGACTTACTGGGTCCTCTGACTATATTTTCAATAAGGAAGACAAAGCACAAACCTCGTGTGAGTTCTGTAATAATATTTTGGCTAGCGAAGCTAATGATATTTTATTGAATTAATTAGATTCAGATCCACAGAGAGTAGTTATGTGATTTACGGATTCATTTGCAATTTAATAGTATCTGTGAGTAAATATTTGTCTTATGCAATATGAGTACATTGGGCCAGTTAGATGCCAGAAGCTAGGCTGAGTGGTATTGGGGACTCCTTTGGCAAGTTTCATCTTTATATGAGACTTGAGAAAATGAAGTCATAGGAAGCCTGCCAATTGAGCTAGGAAAATCACTACATTAGTGATTGTAGTTATCTTGTTCATGCACACTTGTTGCTCACCAAAAGATATGGGCAGTGTTAAGTTTAGGAGACTCTGATTTTACACTTAATAATTTATACAATTCCCCAAAACTAATTACTGAAATTCTCATTCTCAAAAAAAAATTATTAAACATTCTCAAAACTAATTACTGAAATTCATTCAACTACTTTATATAAAAGTTCTAGTATTGTCATGTATTTCTAACGAACTTCTGTGAATTGTGTTCAGTTCGTGTAAAGCATTTTCATCATGCCACATCTAATGTGAAGGCTTGATTTCTTTGTTTGTGAGAGCACGTGAAAAGTTGGTGTTGTTAGACTTAGACCCAAGCCAAAGTATTGTGCATGCTTTGGTTTCATGTTGGGTTTGTGTTGTTCGTTCTTGATTCCTTTCGGACATGTAAAGTACACAGTGGTCAGTAATATTGAGTTATGAGTTTGATCCAACAGGGAGTTGATTGTAACCGTTCTGAAATTCAAGTGAGTCAAGCCGTAGATAACGATTTACTTCAATACTGTACTCAGTGGCATGATCTTCTACTATTTGGCTTAGTTCATACCAGTCGTTTGGTAACATTTTGGTGTAACAATAATCTATTTGAGTGATTTATGCCACCACATATCACATCAATAAATGTTACTAATAAGCTGATGTCTCTTCGCTGTATGTGTTTCAAGTACATCGATTTCCGTTGTTCTAGCATGAATTTTTCCTAGTTTAATTGCTTTTTATGTTCTGTTTTCCCCTCATTAATCAATATACTCTTTGTTTAATTTCATCTTCGTTGTTAGCACATTGGTGTGTCTTTCTAATATTTTTCACGATACTGTTTATATGACTTGTTATTCTAGGCAACAGAGATGAGTATACGGATCAGAGAAATGGGATACCACAAGATGAAGCTTAATAAAATACTATCAAGAGTTACAGGCCAGCCTTTAGAAAAGGTGATTATTTTAGATACTGTTTCTTACTGTAAATGAATTTTGTTTGTACAAGTTAGCCGAGTTAACTCTGATATTTCTTTATATGCTTTCATTTTCTTTTTCTAGGTTGAAGTGGATACTGATCGTGATAATTTCATGAATGCTTGGGAGTCTAAGGAATACGGGTTGGTTGATGCTGTTATAGATGACGGCAAACCAGGATTGGTAGCACCCATTACCGACGACGCACCTCCACCAAAAACACAAGTTTGGTATAAGTGGAAGGCCGAAGGCACCAAGAAGAGAAAGAACAATTGGCCTTCTGAAGAAAGGTTATTCCAAAATGATGAGCAGAGCAATGAACAGAAAGATGAAGCTCTCAGTCCTCTATAATGTATTGGGATACATGTGGCCTTTTACAGATGTAGTCCTACTGAATTTGAGATGTCGTCTTGAGGATTCATTGTAGATTATTACAGTATTTTTTATATTATGGTCGACGTCAGTTGAGCCTTCTGTTGTACCAATGTCTCCTCTTAGTATTTGAACTGGTCCTTTATCAAAAAAGACTTACATTTGAAATGGTATTTTTGTTCGTGGATTTACATTGCATATCACATATTTTAGGTCTATTAATAGAGAACAGCTTGAATTGCAGATTAGTACGTGTTATGTTAAACTGTCACTCCAATTTGTGCGAGACTCTTGTCAAAGCAATGATAATTGGTAGCAATTTAAACATTGCTGTAACAACTATACAACTAAAAATTGGTTAGTATTGTTGTCAAAACATATAATTCTGATACAAATGATTAGATGAGCTTAAATGCTCCTACCGATATTGATATTCCTTGAAAAGAAATTCTTTGTACCATCAACCAACGAAAATGAAGGTTTCTTTCACATTTCTTCTCTTCTCCAACAACCAGTAAATGAGAACTAAAAGGTGCCAGGCTTGAAAATATTTGATGCATTTACAATACAACAGATACAGTAATCATCTTTCCTGTCGTACAAACTTCTTCAGTTTTCTGTACCTCTTACATAAAAGTCTAAAAATGAGATAAATAGAAGGAGAATAGCAGGAAGGAGAAAGTTATACTGCAAGAAGAAGAGCAAAATAAGAGGACATGCCAATAGAGATTTGGCCTGATCCTCGACTGCATTGTCGATCAACTGAACCTAAAAGCAATGTAGTGGCTTCTCTTTGAATTATTTCAAACTTGAGACATTCACCCTCAAAATACTTTAAGTTCTCAGATAGAGTTGACCGTGTCACTGCTTTCATTGTCACTGCTGCTGCTTGCACTATCACTTCCACTTCCACTCCCGCTCCCACTCCCACTTCCACTACTGTCACTGCTGCTGCTACTGCTAGAACTCGAAGTATGATTCTCTTTTCCCTCTGCATTTACTTGAGCTCTAAGTTCTTCTGCAGCATTGCGGCCCTTGTCCTCATCATCATCACTTACATCCACATCAGCTATCTCATCATCTGTATCATTTTGGTGTGGGATATTAATATCAATGCCAGTTTTGAATTCTTCAACAGTAACATTCCCACCATTGGCTGCGGTAGTATCATCCTCATCATCATTCAGTATATCTAATTGTTCATCCAGGTCATCATACTTCATGTCTGGTGATGCAGTTGAATGATTTGCATGTGAAGATGGATACTCAGCAATCTTCTCATTTTTGGGTCTTGAATCTAGAAGACAAAGAGTCAGCCACTACAGTAAAAGGCATGAATCGCGGAAATTTCAGGGTTCCTTTGAAAAGGAGCTCCTAGGTAAAACAGACGAGATGTGTGCAGCATGATTCAATCAAACTACTGATTAGAAAAGGAAGAAAAAATCAAATCAAAATATTATGTCACGGTCTCAGGGATGATATGATCTAACTTAGCCTATCCTAAATTGAGAGATTCAAATGGTAGAAAATAGACTCCAGACAGCTCAAGTTTCGAAGGTATCTTTTGGTCAAGCTAGGTCATTGAGTCATTAGGTTCTATCCTAATAAATCTATTGACAACTGAAATTCAATTCCAAGTTGAGGCCATATATGGTTTGGTTGGTGTTAAAATTAAAAATAATTCCGGGGATCTGAGTGATCTTTTAAAACCATTTCATCTCATTCTTATCCCCCTCCCCCCCTGCAGTTTCAATCCGTGTCTAATAGCAACTTAGACTCCTTCATTGGAGATTCAACCAAACATAAGGCAAAAGCCCCTTACTTTTTTTTCAGCCTAACACTATCATACAGAGCTCACTTTGAGAAAACATACCTGAACTTCTAAAGTCACCAACTTCGATCCTTTCCACCTCAACCTGAACAAACATTAAACAGAATTTTGAGATATTGATGTAATAGTCAAAACTACAGAGAATATGGAAACAGTCAAACTAATAACTTTTCCCCTTTTCATTAAAGGCAAAAGGAAAAACAAACGCTGAAAGATGAAATATAGAAGGCAGCTACATAATATGAAAAAATGAGAGGTTGATGAGACACATCAGAAGACATAAAAGGAGTGAAAGACTTAATTCGGACCTGAATTTTTTTTAGTAAGACATTTGTAGCCTGTAAAATTCACAACAGCTGGCCAATGACCAAATGAATGACATACAGTAATACTAGCATTTCTGGCAATACAATCATCTAAATATAATCTCAAGAAGCAAGTTACACAAATTCAAGCATGACTTAAACAAGAAAAACCTGTCACTTCATGCGCCAAGACTGCACTTTTAAGTCAATGGCTATACAGTTGTTGGGCAATAGGCAATGCACCCATTGACTCCAGACCCCACATTTTCTGTTTGTTAAGTTGAAACAAGAAGAATGGGTGGAGATAGGATAACAACGTGTGCAGCGATAATGACTTTGCAAAGTACTAGATGTGTCAATAGGAACAGCGCACCAAGGACCACGCATCTAATTCTCAACCAAAATGCATAACTACAAACCCACACCCACTCATGCAGACATATATACATAGCCCTGTGTCATTTCTTCTGCTATGCATAAGAAGCATAACAAGCAACAGTGCAAATAAAGGTAAAGTGTGCTTTCATTCCATCCGGCTCAGTTTAGCATTTTAAAACTACGGAAACTCCTTTTTAAGATACGAACTACAATGCAACAAAAAATCTTCCATTCAAATTTGATCTATTATTGAGCAAGATTACTTGTTGGTCTTCATACAGAGAAGAATATATCATTGAAAACTGAGAGTTGCATGAAATGACATGTGCTGATTGGACGAGACAGGAAAAGGAAGCTGCAGACAATGTCAATTTTGAATAATTAGAAATTAAAATGGAGATCTACTGATTGGGATGAGGTTTACCAAGGAAATATAAAATGGAACCACTGTCGAATGCCACGGTTAGTTATGCCCCAATTGGTATAGACTTCTGTATATCACCCAAATATTGAAGCATCCCTAATACGGTTCTATCTGGAACAACCTATTAAGTGGACTATAGATATAAATGCAAATTAAGCTTATTCCATTTCTTCTCGATGAACTAGTCAAAAGATATGTTCCATGACACCTAATCACCTAAGTAGGTGTTATTATCAGTACTTTATAATCTTGGCAATCCCAATTAGCTTGGCAAGTCATCTAGCTTCCTTGAAACCTTTCACCGGAGAATAGGAATGCTATTTCTTCAAATTGTAAGCATACAGTCAGTCGTGCACAGGAAAATTTCAAAATATCATACTGCGCTAAATAAGCTAGAAGAAAGCGAAAGTAGGTTTGCAAAGAACTCACTGGCACAGCAGGTGCAGGAACTGCAGGCTTATTAAGTGACTGAAATTTTGCCCCTTTGACAACTGGTGGTGAACGCGTCTCTACAGGCATTCCAATTGGAGAAGGAGCAGGAGAACGAGAAGGACCAGGTGCGGGTGCAGGTGCTACTGCCGCAGCGGATTCTCCGGGGAGTCGATTATACCTCAACCGCTTAACTGCCCTATGTAACCGCTCCAACCGAAATGACTCGCCATCAAAGAAAAGAACAGCATCATTTTCCTTGTAATCCTCACTACTTCCATCAAAGGATACCTTAGGTTTACCAGGCTGGTTATTTTGAAATTCAACAGAAATCTTATTGTCCTTGGTCTTGTGTAGTTTTCCAGGTTGGTTCTTATCAATTGAAGCAGGTTTAAATTCATCTGGAGAAATGAAAACAATTGCCATTTTACCAGAAAGATAAAATCTAACTATTCAAACAACAATAACATCAGGATAGCACCCAAAAAAAGATGTGAGGGGAAAGCTGTGCAAATCTCATCCTTTTGCCCATTCATAATATTTTCAGTTAATGTCAGTATGGCCAAATAAAACATAACTAACTAAACATTTTCTCCATTTCTGGCTTAGCATAAATATGTATCTTTAGATTTTATAAACACATAAACGCCACTGCACCTAACTTGCATCTGCAAATTTGTTCTTAACTTGTCTTCCACGAGAAACAGCATAATCGCAAAATAAATTCAACCCAATTGAAATAAAATTATAACCTTCCATACCCAATTTCAAAAACTACACATTAAAAAACAGAGAAAAAGAAAAGTTCGTTCCTCGTATCAAGATAGAAGACAAAAAACTATGATCTAAAAGAAGTAAAAGAGAGAGATGTGGAGAACATACATCGTAAAGTACAGAACTTTGAAGAAGGTTGGTGATCTTTAAAGGAAGAACCTAGACTCAAATTGTACCACCGATCTGGCTGTGGCGCTGTACTTGGTTCATCTTTGTTGTTTATGTTTGCCATTCTCAGTAGCCCCTTGGCCGACACGACGGTCGGAGAAGAAAACGAGCAACGGTGGGTCGCCAAATTGTGTTTTTAATTCCCCCTAATTCTCTAGGTACAAAATTAGGGCTCTAAGCCTCTAACTGCAACATGTTACATGCTGTCAAAGTGTAATATTTATTGATTAATGATTAATTAGTCTATTCGACGTACGTTGCACGATTAAATCATATTATTTATTACGATAGAATTCGTATTAAGAAATATAAATTTTAATTACAGGCATATCGGGAATTCTTCAATTTGATTTGTAAATATGCTATATTGATAATTAAATTAATAAAATATTTATTATCAATTAATCAATGGACGATTTAACTAATAAAATGTCTTTGTTGGGGTCTTGGGGATAACAACCAACCTGCTCCTCTAGAAAAAAAATTACCTTCCTTTCTTGTATTCATTTTTAATTACGTATTCTCTTAAATCATGGATAACTTTTAAGACTAAATAAATTATTTGTCTTCGATTTCCATGTTAGAACTCATTCATTACCACAACAAACAACTAATGCAAGATGATAATTTAGACCAATCTTATAACGATATGATATATTCAACCCTAATTACTAAGAACACAAACTATACAACAAAGTTCAAGGAAAAACCACTGATGTGTGTTTCTCAAACTAATAAGTGATAGTTTAAGTATGAAATTTATACTCTCAATAGTTTAGATATGAAACTCCAAAAAATGAATAGTTTAGATGTGTTCTTGACACTTACCTCTTAAAAATGAGGCGATTTCATCAATCTACCATATCCTTTATTGGTTCTCGTACTTGTCTCTAAGTTCACTTTAGTCCAACAAGATCTTAGTCTCTTTCTTGGAATTTTATGGCAATTTCACTTACCCTTGTGGACTTGTTTTGGGTAAAATTGCTACTTATATTAAAACACCAAATCAAAACGGAAAACACACTACACTAAGCATACTTACATTATAATTGAACGTTACACATGACTATCTGACATTATTGTCTACATAAAGTTGACAAGTTGGTACACCTGAAGTTTCCATAAACTATTGGTACAAGTTACAACTAACCAAAATAATGTTACTTATAATTTTCCCCCAACTCATATTGGGTTGACTCTTATTATTTTCAATTTTTTTATATTAATTGTTATTTTCTTTGTTTCTACTACTAGTATATTATTTTTAATTAATAGAACTTCTTCACTATTATTAAATTTCCTTTTCATAATTGATTTTGTTGAAGTCTATCAAAAATCTTTCCATATTATCCAAATCTCACTTATAAAATTACACTGAATATATTATGGAATGGTCAGGTAGTGTAACTGATCACCGACCACTGCTTAAAATATCCACTAGGTCGGTTTGGAACATTATTAAAACCAACCTTGTATAGGGATCTAAAAAAAGGTGTCATGTATGCATGTGGCAGGTACTTTCTTTTTTACTTTTTAAAATCATAAATCTTGAAACTCCCTTCACCTTATAAATAAGCCAAATCAAATCAATATACACATATTCATATTATACTCTTAATTAGCCTTTGATTATATATTTGATCTTTCCTAATCACTCTTCATTAGTTCAGCCATGGAAAAAGTACTCTTAATTCCATCTAATTTTTCTTTCTCCAATCCCAAGAAATTTCTTATTCCCCGGAGAAGATCAAAGGGTAAAATTTCTTCTCATCGTAATGATTCTTGTGATTGGGATTATAGAGGGAGATTAGTGGATAAAAGTATGATTATATTAAGGAAGAGAGTTCATGAAATGAAGGTAATTGAAAGAAATTATGAGCCACCAGTAGAATGGATGGAATGGGAGAAACAGTATTACGCTAATTATGATGAGTTAATTTGTAATTTAGTAGGGTATTTACAAATACAATTGTTAAGTACAAGGCCTAGTTTGGCTCTAGGTATGTTAATCCTCTTCATCATTAGTGTGCCAGCTTCAACGGCCATGATTTTCATCAATTTGACAAGTGGCATCTTATCGACCGTTCATCTTGGTTGATGTGTTTTAGCAATCAGCTAACTAAGATTTAATACGTATTTTATGGACATATTGTAGATTGGTAATTGTATTTTGTATTTGCAAAATGAATCCCATATATACAAATGTAACACCGAGTAACTAAAATTTGTCCCTTTTACTTATTTCAACAAGAGTTAAGTCAACACTTAATTATTTGGACGATATATTTTGTGTAGTGTAGAGATAAATGTATAATTAAAAGTCTTAGAACTTGAATTATATGGGTTATAAATTTCGGGATAGTAATTGAGTTCTTAATTTATTTTTTCTATTTATATAAATGATTTTTCTTAATATAAAAGTAGAGTTTGGGCTAAAGTAATTAAGTTAAGTCGAACCCTAATTAGTTAATCTTCTAACTATGCCACTAGTGGAGGGGTGGGGGATTTGCAATAAAGTATCATCCTTGTGAAAAATCTTTTCTCAATGTCTTTAATTAGTTCATGAATCTTAACTATTAGCTATGCCAATTCCATCAAATCGAAAATCCTTTCACTATTTTTGTACTATGGTTCGTTAAAAGAAAGTGGAAGGCCATTGTTCGACGATGATTTTGTCGCCAATTTAATTAAATGTGGATGTCACTTTTATATACGGTCATTACATACATATAATAAGGTCGAAATTGTTATTCAGCACTTTAAAATTTCAGAAAACATGCATAGTTTCGTGGCTCCTCATTATTCTCGTGGGGTTTTTGTTCTTAATATTAGACCAGAAAAATCACAAAATAGCAATTTGTTCACAAGTCATGTAACATAAATACTTGATTACATAGTTGTACTAGTGAACATCTATTTATATTGCGGCTACCCGCTACCCTCATCTATTGGTAGAGTCGCATTCGACCTGTATTATTATTTATCACGAAATTTAAATGTTAGAATAAAATATCATTATTTATTTCTCCTTAAGTTACATGTTATTTTTATAAAAGATCAACAAGTAATTGCCTTTTAAGTAACGTGATGGTATTTTTTTACATAAAATTCATGTTCTTAGTTTTTCAAGTAAAATGAAAATATTGATCTCTATGTATTAAAAAATAATGAAAGAGGAGAAAATAACTTGACTTTTGAAAAGTAAAATAAGTTCAACAAAACAAAATGAATTCGATAAAATTAGCTAGTGAAAATAAAAATTCAATATCGTATATTAAGCTCATAACATGTATTTCAGCAAGTTATTGATCATTGTAAGCATAAAAATATGCATTTTTAATATGTAAATTTCTAAAATCTAGAAGCCGAAAGTTCTTCTAGTAAATTTTTACTAGGGAGCTAGGTATGACCAAGAAAATGATAATGACTATGAATAGGAAATTAGTTTGTCTAGTTTAAATTATTTCTTCAAACCCAATAAACACTAACTTCGATTATACTTTTGACAAAATTAGTACATTTTTTTTTCAAGGTAAACCCACTAATGCCATATTCATCACGTTATTATGTTCAGCCGTTGTAAGATTTGGGCTTAAATTATCAAAGGTCTAATGACGGAATTCTTCATCAACTTGACCTTGCATGTACAACCAATCAAATCATTATTCCGTAACGATCAAAAAGTATTACATAATCTTAATTTGATTAATATTTAAGTAACTTACCAGATAAAAATGACAATATTTTCATCATTTCAATTTGTTTTTCCTACTTTACTTTTAAGTCTGATTAAGAAAAAAAAAATGTCTTTTTCTTGCTTTAACAATCTTTCATTCCAAAACTTTTCAATATGTGACATGTTAATATCACAAGATTTAAATTTTTTTCTTTGTTCTTTAAATTACGTATCAAGTTAAAATAGGACAAATAAATTGAAACAGAGAAAGTAACGATTTTCATATTAATTAAACCACACCAATTAGAAGACAAACAAATCAACCCTCCCACCCTTGAATTAGAAGACAGATTTTGGACAAATTCAATTAATTAATTACTTCTCCCTTAATTAATTATCAATCAAGTTACTGTGCTTTACAGTGCCCGTCCCTTTCTTGCGGCTACGCGTATAGTCCCACACGTTGGGCCGACTCTATTAAGGACCCTTCACTTCTAAGACAAAGTAATTTCTCTGCGTAAACACAACAACTTCTTCCTCCCCCCTAACCCCATTATAAATATGCTTCACAAATCCACCATATTGTAATACAGAAAATTCCATCTAATATATCTCATGTCGATCATAATAACTACGCCTCAATCTCAATCAGTTACACATAAGTACAAAATGACTTCATCGGTGATCTCTTCATGTTCTAATCTTCTAAATTCTAGCAAGTCTTTCGAGACAACTCCTTCAGTTACAAAGATGCCAAAGCGAGTGGTGATTAATGCAAGATTTGATCAATATAATCGTGGTGGAAGAAGCGTGGATGAGAATATGATTGTTTTGAGAATGCGCATTAAAGATATGAAATTGTTAGAAACTGAAAAATCAGGACCACCTTCAAATTGGATGGGATGGGAGAAGAAGTACTTTTCACATTACAATGAGGATGTTTGTGAAGCTATAGGATTGTTACAGATGTACTTGATGGAAACTAGGCCAGCTTTGGCTCTGGGGATGTTAGCGCTGATTTGTTTGAGTCTGTCCCTTTCAACTTACTTTTTGCTCCAGCAAGTCATCGAAATGGCCAAGTTTATTCTTCAAGCTAAATTAACTTAGTCTAGCTAAATAGAGACAAACTCCGGATTCTGAATCTGTGTAATTTTATTTTGTATATGTATTTTAGATTTTTTTTCGAATATATATAGGTCAAGTCTTCAAGATAAGAATATCTGATGTATGTAAATTATTAGGGTTGCAACTTGCACCTTAATATGCTTTAATTTCCTATTCAAGCTTACGCATTTAATGTTTTTACTTGATGTGCTAAAATAATCAAACTTTGGAAGGAACAAGCTAAGAAAAAGATAACGTCATTTTCATGCAAGGTCTCTACTCTCCCAGCCTTAAAAAAAGAATTTAAAGACATTAATTAAAGGATAATTTGTCAATATTTACTTCTTTTTTTATTCTTTCTAAATTATTTTTAAAAGTAGAGATAATTGTTATTTATAAATAGTTGAAAATCCCATAAAAATAAAGATAGTTCTAAAAGAAAAAAATCAAATAATACATTCTAGAATTTTAAAAATATCAACAATTCATTTATATTTGACCAAAAATAGGTTTTTATGATTCATTTGGAAATATGATAATAAAAACACAATATTAGGTTGAATAGCCCCTTATATTAGTTGTCAATAAATTTTACTAACATTTGAATTATGATTTGTTTTAGTTGAATATCTATGTTTTATTTGGAAAATATATTTTAGACTGGTTTAAGAGTCGCCACTTAATTTTTTAAGAAAAATCAAGAAAACTATTGTTTTCAAAAGACTAAAACAGGAGTCTAATGAAAACTTAAAGGGGTTTGGGGGTTCTTATTAGCATTTCAGGAAGGGTTTGAAAGCCACCTGAAAATGCCCGCTAACATGCGGTTATCCGACAATTAATTTATTTGGACTAAAAGTGAATTAACTTTAACTTGACTTGAAACATAATGCTATTTTATAATTAAGTCCATTTTATTTTATTTTAAAAGGGGAAAAGGAAAGGATTGAACTAAGTGAGATATTTTCCTTGACAAAAATTCTTTAAGTCCTTTTAAAGGTGATCGATTTAGTAAAATTGTTAAAACGAAATAAGCGTCTTTTGGGGATTTGAATTTTTTAACCTTAAAATTAATAACGGATATTAGCAAAACAAAACAAACACAAAAAGATAAAGAGGGAAAGAGGCTTGAAGGCCCAAGTCTGGTTTCTGTTCGCCTGGGCCAGCACTTGAGCCCATTTTCGTTTTGGGGCTTTTGGCCCAATTTTTTGCCGCCTTAGTACCTGTCATAGACTAGATTTTGAAGTTTTATTTCTTTGGGTTTTAGGCCCATCTTCCACCTGTCCTAAACTAATACAATAATAGCAATTAAAAGGACAAGGGCTTAGGCCCAAAATAACAAAATACAATCTTTTATAAAGATTAGGCCTTTGGCCCAATCTTTTCAATCTCCCGATCTACCGCATATTTTCAACTTCAGAGCCTGTTCGTCGATTTTTTATGGCAGGCTGACTCAGATAAAATAGAATTTGGGCCTCCATGGCCCACAGAAAATGCAAGGATAGGGTCCGTAAGGACCCGGACAAGTTTCACATGCAACGACGAAAAAAGAATAGAGGTTAGTATACTAAAGAGAACGGAGAAGTGGGGGGGGGGGGGCGTGCTACATTTTTATACAATTAATAATGAGGAAATGATGATTTAATGGACATCAAATATATATATAAAATATAAACCAAGAAAGCATTGTCATAATATATTGGGAATAAGATACTGTACAAACACGTCTTTAGTATAAAATAAAATAAAATAAAAAAATAAGTAAAAAGAAATTGGATAGCAGACAAGTATGTCACGTATGTAATGAAGAGCAATACTATAAGATTAGTTTAAGCATGATGAACATATATATATATATACATATATATAAAACTAGTCATTTGTTCACAAACATAATCAATAAAACGGACTAAGACGTTGAAGATAGCGACTCTCAAATAAGAATAACATTATTGATTCACTTCTTCTTAAAATGAACAAACCCATTTTCTCAAAAAAAAAAGAAAAGACCGGCTACTTTGAAAAAATTTAAATTATCATATGTTGCAACACTTCAACTCTCACGTGCCTTCTCAACTCACTTTCAATTTGGAAAATATAAGCTAACACACACATAGTATAGGGGACTTGAAAACCATGTTAATGAGCAACCTCAACAAGGAAAGGACTCACTACATCATTCTGCATTTTATTTGAAAAAATTAACAAAACCTATGAAAACCAATTGTTACAGAGAGCTTAAAAGACGCAGTAAACATAAAAGAAAAAAAAAACGGACGGAAAGGAAACTACGCAGAATCGATCCTCACAGGTAAAAGGTTTAAGATGAAAGCACTACAGACACAAGATGAAATCTAAAACCTTGACGTCCTGACCCATTCACCCAACTCGAGGTACACGAATGAAGAACGTGACGTCTAACACGAAACGCTATCACAGCATCCCAACAAATAAGGATAAAAACCAATACAGGCAGAGAAATTTGAGACTAAATGAGATAAACTATTTAAAGAAAACAAGTAGGATATTGAGTTATAAATATGAAAATCGTCTCAAAAATATACTTTAAGATTCACACAACCATATTCAAGTCATATTTAAATGTCATATTAAGGATACGTGACTAGCTAATAGCGAAAACCGACCCTAAAAAAAAGACCTTTGGATAGCAAGCGGAACAGAACACCCATCATCTAAAGAGGGAAACGAAAAATGAGAATGAGAGTGTTACCTCTTCTGGTGCAGCGACACTAAGACGAAACGAGCAGGCGAGCAACGACTCTTCCAACACCCGGATTCGAAACTCGAACAGCCAACTAGAGACCTGGACGGAAACTTAAACACAAAAACCGGAAAAAAAAAACTCTTATCTCTTTTGCTTATGAAACGTATTTAGAGTGTACTAAAGTATTTTTTTTATTTTTTTTCAAAGCTCTCCTCTGTGTTTGCTCTGAAAATTTTTCTAACTCTCCCCCAAAATTCCCCCCTTAAACTGAAACGAAAAAAGGAGTATATAGAAGGAGATAGGGTTCGATTTGGGGGGGGGGAAACGGATCCAAATCCGGACAAAAGAGCCCAAATTCAAATTCAAACTTCAAAATCTCTTTCACCAAATTAGGAAAACACATTTTCCTTGCAATTTTCACCCCATTCCGGAAGAGGAAAGGGGGAAAACGCATGCTTGCCTTTGCTGCTGCGATATTAATGCGGATAGGTACGTTGGGGAAGAAAACAAAATTTTGCAGCGCTGCACCTCTGTTGCTACTTTTCCGTGTGTATTGACGGAACTTTGAGACCGTGAAGACGCCGTGAATTCGCCTCCATTTCGTCGTTGAAAGCTGCTGGTTTTTCTGGGAGCTGTACGCGTTGTGGTTATGTCCACAATTTACTCGCTGAGGGAGAGGAGCTTAGGGGGGTGGGGTCGCGCGTGGTATTGTTGTTGTTGTTATTATTTTATGTTGTACGCATGGTATGTATTGTTGGTGTACAGCTGGTGGGTATTTTTTTATTTTATTTTTTAATTGTTGTACGTAATGTTGGTATTATGGGAAAAGAAAGTGGGTTGGGAATTGGAAGCAAGAGTTGGGTGGGTTGGGAATGGAATTAGGCTGAAAATTATTGATGAAATAGCCTAAAACTTGGTCTCAAGTGGGTTTAAGGTGGGTAAGGAAATAAAAATTAGAACCAATTGAAGTTAAAAACTTAGCCGATTTGAATTTAATTGATGAATTCGGCCAAAGTTTAAATAAGATGAATTAGTACAAATTAATTAATGAGCTTCTTGACAAATAAAATAATCAACTTAATTATAAACTAAATTATTTAATATATAAACTACTAAACTAACTAACCAAATATTTGAGTAGAACTAAAATCTTTTGAGGCGATTTTTGAATATTCATAAAATATACTAGTTATATGTGTAATTATATATAAAAGAAATATATATTATTTAAAACTCGTAGAAGTAGCAAATCTATTTAAAATAACCTGCAAACCATATTATATTTATTTATTTATTTATTTTTATTTATTATTATTATTTTTTTTTTGAAATTTTATAAAACTAATTATTATAAATCGTTTGAAAATTGAGAAGCTCAAAAATTAATTATTATCGGGGAGGGTCAAAATTGGGTGTCAACAATCTAAATATATGATTCAAATGTTTCTATTATTATTATACACTTCCACCTCAGAATTTGGAAGAAAAAAATCATCTTTTCAACCGTCCATTACGTAATCACATAAAATATATCACTTTTTTTTAATTATACGCATTAGCATGTTTTGGAACATACCTAAGAAATTTTACGACTTATTAATGTTAAAATATATAATTAAAGAAGATGATCTTCTTTAAATAAATAATTTATCTACGTAATAAACACTTCAAAACAGACTCAATTTTTTTCCAAACTTTAAGCAAGTCACACTAATCAAGTCTTAGCTCAACTTAACTTCTAAACTGAAGTCATAATTATTCAATTATGGTTTGGAGGTTAGCCCATAAGATATGCAAAAGGTTTACATCCAAATGGTCTCTTTAGATGGAAAACTCACACCATATACACATTTAAGGGTAAATTTTACGGGTTTTAAACATACTTTTAAATAATTCTTACTTATACCAGTTTATTTACGGGTTGTGACATATCAATTAAATTTAATTTAATTTAAAAATCAATTTCAATTTATTTAATAAATGATTAATCTGTTTATATTTTTATATTATTAATTAATAATATTTAATTAATTTGATTTCAGTTCCTTTTTTAAAACTGAAATCATAAGTTACACATATTAAGGGATTTACATAGATTAGACTTCCTTGTTTACTGTTACACTCCAAAACCTCCTATACCCTCAATCCCACCACCCTCCACCCACGCCTATTCAAATCTACACACCATCACCCTCACTACCCCACTTTCACCTTGTCTCTCCCATTTTCTCACCAGCCAACTACACCATTTCCACAATCGTCCGTCCAATTAAGTTTTTCA